CATCGGGCAGAATTCCAATCCTAACAAAGTTTAATGCCTCACTGTAAGACGGTTTTGGGGAGCCATTGTTACTTGTTGGCTCCTTTATGTTTGACGATTCTCGATTGCCTTGTTGTCTGGCTTTCTCCAGCCGAGACTGAACCGAGGACTTTGCATTTCCTCTATCAGCGTTTAGAGCAATCCTTTTAGGTGGATTGGTATCGCTACAATTGGATTCGCTTAGCTCTGCATTTCTGCGACGCTTGTTTGGATCCGAATACGGTACTTTGAAAGGCTTCTCAGCCAATACACGAGCATCATCATAGGAATGACCATGAGTATTTGAGCCTCTTTTTAGCAGCTCCATTCAGACGCTTGGCCTTTTTTGGGACTGTAGCCTCAATCGGTGATTCGGTATCAACTTCAGCACAGTTACCGCTAGCAGCAAGCATAAGAGGAGCATTTACCTCCTTTCCAACTTTACCTTCTTGATTCCAACATTTTCCTCGTTGGATTCAGTAGTAGCAGCTGTCGACAACAGAGTCACATTTATGCCGTCCTCATAATCGTCGTCATCATCGTAGATGTCATCGTCATCTCCATGTCCGGAGGAGTTAAGGATCGAAGAGGAACATGAATTTACTTCCTCCCACGAATTATCTCGCAGCGCAGCTGATCCTCAACTTCCATCAATTCTCTATTAGTCTCCAATACGTACTTAAAGCCTATAATAAAGGGAATAAAACAGTTTTTGACACCCTTAGATCTTGGCATAAAGCAATCATGGTTGCTTGATATGTTTATACTAAGCGATCTCAATTATTTAAGTGAGATTCAAAAATGATAAAGATAATACCAAAAAGGTGAGAGGCGAATTGGGTAGATATTTTATTCAGAAATAAAACTATAATATTTCAAGAACTTATTTTCTAACTATATTCAGCGTCATGCATGTTCAACCGAAGTGAATATTATAAGGCACACAAAAGATAAATCTGAGTACAGTATGCACCATTCAGGATCTGACCCTGGTGCTCCGGAATAAATTATCAACTAACAGCAAAAACATAATTTTACTAAAATACTCCATACCCTAGTACAAATCGTTCGTGGCAACTTCTATACGACTGGTATCAGTCATAATCAGGCTGCTTCAACTTTTCGAGATGGAAATGTGCTACTTGGGTTGAGTGTGACACGTTAAATTTCCATAGCAAATCAAAATTATTAAATATTATTACGATGCCAATATAATATGATCCTGATGATTACTGCCACCTGCCGGGATCTGATTCAAAGGCCTCTTTGGGGAAGTCGAAATTAATCGTTTTCCATACGATCGCTTGTATGAAAGAGTAAATCCCTGTAAATCATTCCAGATCAAGAAATCAAAAATATCTACAAATGACAACGAACCGAATGATAACGCTATGTCATATGTGGAAAGCAATAATGATATAATCTTCTTCCTTCTTTTTCATGACAAGCAGCCCGTGCGACACAGTTCACTCGGAGCGGTAGAAGGAAACGAGCGAATTGTTGGCCAGCTGCTTCACGAAGTAAAACCGAAGATGATACACGTGTGTTTATGGGAATTTTTTTGTTATGGCTTTTCGCGATTCAGATCAAGCTATGTCCTCATCCGTGTATATTGCAACAAAGCAGGCAAGCAATATTTCATTATCCTTCTACCACTCCGATCGAGCTATGTTACAGAGTGAGTTTGTCATGGTAGGCGTAGCAACAGTTTTGTCTGTATCGTTGGTTGCTTTATGTGTTTGGATTCGCTGTTCCAGATCAATGAGTGCGCCATAGAGTGCGACACATCAAATCACTATAGAAAGTATATTGTCTATTGTGAATATTACGTTTGGTGAGCAAAAAGAGTGAATCATGGATTAAACCTGGCAGAATATTGTGGAGCGTAGAGAAGCAAAAACCGGGTGAGAACCAGAGGAGCCAACAACGAAGCCTGTCAACGGTAGTCAGCTCTAGAGAAGGAAGTAAACCACAATTGCAGACGGGACAAGCGAGTGTGGGTGGACTCCCTGACCGACGAAGGAGATAATGCCGCAACAACCGGCGATATGCACCTCCTCTGCGATATATAACGACGTCTGAATGGAGCAAGGATGAATCCAAAGATGCCTATGAAAGATGCGATTACTGACGCCAGCAATAAGCTGAAACGTTGGAATTGTAATAATCACTTGGGCTTGTTATGTTGCACTCCATGGAATATTTCAGCCAGGACCATGTGTGTGTGTGTGTGTACAATCTAACCCCTACTGTCCGGCAGTGTATTATGGAAGAAAACTGCTTTTTATTACCCTTAAATTAAAGCAGGTTTAGTCCGGGAGTTAGAAGGTGTTAGCTCTATTGCAGCTCCAGTGACCCATTCCAGAATGCCTGGTAATTCACGACCACTCCGAGGTCACTTTTACTTACAATAAGCCCCGCATGTTAACTCTACCTTTATCAAATGGATATTGGTATCCATTGGCTCCCACACCTGAACCCTACATATCAACCAATCAACTCATGAACCGGGGACCAACGGCTTTACTTCCCTTCCGAAGGAAGGCGTGATCAGAGATGGCCTCAGAACATCCCGGCGGCGCCGACTGGGATTGAACCCAGGCCTGCTGGGGTGAGAGGTCATCACGCTTACCAATACACCACCGGCACCGCTACCTATCTGCGTCAAAATTTCAAATCAAAACTCCTTGCTCACCCACGCAAACTAACACCAAGAAATACTTTAAACTAGGTCAGCGTTTTTCAATCTTCCTTTTCTTCTTTTTCATATTTTGAAATTTATCGATATTGAATATAATTATATTGCATGCGTATACATATGACTACCTGAAACTTAAAAACAGATTGACATACCAGCGCACAATGGGGAAAAATGGAAGGAAAAATACATTTAATTGTGTATCACTTAAATTCGCTGGATCAAAAATATAGTTTTTATCATTTCTGTAGGTAAACAACTTGCGGGATCGAATGGAAATGGTTTCATCCTGGGGAGAATACAGGAAGTTTGTGTTTTTTGCTTTTTCATCCTAAAAAAAATCCCTTGAGAATAAAAAAAGCAAAAAACTCACACTTCCTGTATTCTCCCCCGGATGAAACCATTTCCATTCGATCCCGCAAGTTGTTTACCTACAGAAATGATATGAACCATATTTTTGTTTCACCGAGTTTCGGAAATGCTACAAAATAAAATGTAGTTTTCCGTTCATTTTTCCCCATTGTGCAGCGGCTTGAAAAAGACAAAATTCCCGGGCTCCATAGATTCAGAAACACTGCCCTAGGTCACAAACCTAGGTGTTAGTTTCCGCGGGCGAGCTAAGAGTTTCTACAAATTGACGATTGAATCTATAATTACGTGATTACGGACAGTGTCGATTTTTTTTTAAACTAACACTTGACTCACTACACTTTAATACCTAGAACTACTGACTGGGCATCCTCAGTGTGTGGTTGCTGACGGTTGGAATTTGTCATCGTTCGATCGTCGATTGTTGTTAACTCCGCTCGGTACGAAGTCCGGTGTTAAGTCTATTTTTAAAATCCAGATACACCCTTTAGAAAGTTCATCCTTGAATTTTACAAAACACGCCTAAATGATTTTTAAAACTCATAGACCAGCGACCCGTAGCTTGTAGCCCAATTCAATAATTCAATAATGAAATTTCCACACAGGGAACGCCAAACCAATCCAATAATAACCGGCATTCCAAACCATCATTACCATCCCCATCGACGATGGTTAAAAGTTTACCTTCCGAGTAGAAACAGTGTTGTAAATGTTTGCAAAACTAAATCCCTGCACCGACCCTGTTCTGTTTTGAGTTGTTTGAATAGCAACAGCAACTACTAGAAAACTGTAACTAGTACCAGAACAACTTACTCAATCCCTGGTTCCGAGCGGAGTTTGAAGGGGAGAACTCTCTGGTGTGCACTTCCTGTGCCTCTGTGCTACATTTGTTCAGAGGGCCCGCGCCATCAAGCCACATCGCTGTTAAAATGCACAAAATGTGTTCGTATGTACGAGCGAATCGACTTTAATTGGTTAAACTTTTTTCGACAACGACTATTGTTTCGCCAACTAATTTAATGTTGTATCCAATTCGACCGAGAAGCAACGAGCCAAACTTTAATGGTGCTTTGCAAACAGTAGTTTCTAGGTTGTTTGTTCTGTTACAACATATGGTACCTCAACCGCGAGTGGGAGAGTGGGGGAGGGGGGACAACGAATTCTAAATAGTTTAATCTGGGGCCTGGACAAACAATTCCGTCCGTTGGGTGAAGATGAGACTGGAAATTGAGTTACCCCTAGCCTTATTACCCAGATTGCAACCTTGCAGAAAGACAAACAGTGCCCATCCGACCCGACCAAACCAACCAACCAACCGACCAACCAGTCAGCGTCAGTGCAGCAGCAGCAATAGCAGGGCAGATGCAACAAACGAGATTTACAGCGTTTCCCTTCTGGCGGAGCATCGAAAATTTCTCAACGAATAAAAGTTTCCACATTTCAACTTGGCACCAGCGCAAAGCCAACATTCGCATCCTCCTGAAGCCGTTGGCATGTAAAGTTTTAGCACCAGTGACGGTTTTAAACACCTCCGGTAAAGATTTTCCACCCAAATCCCTCGGAATCCCCGACGTTTGACGGCGGTGAGGCTTGGGAAAAGTTAACTTGGCTGGTGCGAATGCAGTTGCAGTTCAAGTGGAACATCGCTTTTCCGGTAGAATGGATAACTGTGCACTTTCACCTGAACCCCAGTAAGACCTTGAAGTCGTAAAAAGGTAACGATGGTGGCTTTTGGCTATCAGACAATTGTAAGGTACTTTACCAGTTTTCCCATATAAAGTACCTATGAGTTAAGTATCTTAAAATGGAGTACCTGATTAATCTTTGAAACGCCGTGAATGTTACCAAACTTTTAACACCCGAATGTTTTAACCTATTGAGCTTGATTTGTAAAGTGATTATTGTTTCATTCCAGATCCCCATCAAATCTCCTACCTTATACTAAGTCAATCATCCGCGCTTCATTTCAAACGGGCAACTGTACTGCGAAGAAGTATTCTCGAACAGCAATTGAAACTAAATGTAAGTAACCCAGTTGACAAACATTGCCAATCGATACCGCACTCTTGAATTCAGTGCACCGACTGTTTCCGTATATGCAAATCGACCCCATGTAATCTTTATTTAACGAAAAAAAAAACAGTCTCAACCACCCACCAGCGAGAATGTGCATCTATCACACGAGATTTTCGCCGACCACGAGGGCTCCTGGGCCATCACACCGATGCTGAGGCACATCCGGTCCAGTATCCTGAAAGCGACGCAGGCCGGCACCCGCTGGTTGATCATCTGCGAAGAGAACAGCCACGTGAACGTGAGTCTATTAGCACACCATTTGGGAAAAGAGGATTATCGGCAGGTGAGTATATACCTATATAGGCAATTCCCTAGCTGCTGAGGACAAGAAGAAGCGATTGCTGTTGCGGCCAATTCGGGTGGATGCATGGGCGGAGTCAGAGGGGGGTATGGAGGGCCACTGCCCCCTACCATAACTTAGCTGCAAAATTATGTATTGTTAGTCAATTACCATGTGTTTTAGAAACATGATGCTTTTCAATGGCCATAAGATCGAATGTTATTGGGCTGCTTTGGTCATGAGACCCCAGATCATGATGATTGATCAAAGGTTTTGTATAAATCCTTGAATTTATACAAATGGTTTCCTGGAAAAACATTTTGACTCATTGAAATATTCGAAATAGGAAGTGGTTACAACAATAGGGGAATCTTTTCCTTGTTGGCATTAATCCGGGAATATTGAATGGAATTTTGTGTGGATGATGGATCATTCTCATCATCCGTAAGCATATCAAATGAGCAAATTTCTTCAGAGGGGGGATCAAGCGATTGTCCTTTTTTGTGCTTAGGCGCCATGGCGGTAGAACCAAGTTTCTTCAAATCGACTTCCAAGCAGATTACTATAAGAAGGATCGAAGAGGAATTTTCCAAATCGATATCCAAGCAGAATTACTTCGGTCCAAATCTCAAATCCAAATCTAGTAGGGTTTAAATAAGGATCGAAGAGGAATAAGAGTCAAACAAGGTAGAAATTTTACAGGTTGAGCACTGAAAAGTGCTACCTAAATGTATGTAGCATCCTTCAATAAAAAGCTAATAGATCCGAACGGCAAGAGAGCACGATGCGGACTAAACAGGAATTCGCTTATTGAGATTGATGCTGGTCAACATGCAAATTTGAAAAATACTTATGCAGTTTGACAGAAATTTCAATTTCGTTTAAATGACTCATTTGACCTAGTGAACACATTGGCCTAATAGCGTTCGGCCCAATGGGATTAAGCTTGGCCTAATTCTCCCCCTCCCTATTTCTAAACCTGGCAACGCCCATGGGTGGATGTTTTACTTGCAGGGCCTGGTCGTTGAATCAGTAATAGCAAAATGCTAAGTTAAAAAAAATGATGCTATCATCTAAACCTTCGCATCGTTCTGCCAGCGGATGGGAGGCTGTAGGTTACCTATCATCAGGAGTGGCTGCAAGCGCAAGGCATTTTAACGCCCCTTTGGTCGAAATCCCTCCGATCCCTTAACGTTTCCTGATAAAGAAGACGTTGACGGTGCTTGAGAAGAAAGCATAGTTCGAATATGTTTTTTTTTTTATAATTCTGATTAATGGCTTATCATTTTTCAACTGAAGCCTTAACTAACCTAGCTATTATTTCCCGAGTGGACGGCTAATTGCCTGGACACATCTTTGCCCAGTTCGGTATAATATGGTTTATAAAACCAACTGCCTCTCCAGGATTTGCAGACAAAATGTCACTAAGTTGTAAGCTAATTTAGATCTACGCTTGTGTAATGCACCACAACTGCAGAGCAGATGTTCCGAGCTTTCACGTTCCAAATTACAGAAACGACAGATATCACGCTGAACCCGACCAATGTTCTTCATGCGATATCTACTAGGACAGTGCCCAGTTACTAGGCCAGTGTATATACTAAGAGCTCTTTTATTGAGCTCTAAGAGCTTTTCTGGGTATGTTATATTAGGAGTTATAAATCTTTTCGACTGATTGCAGTTTGTGACAGTCGTCCAATTGAGTTTGAGCATTTGAGTTCCATTTTTACCGAACAGTATGATATTCCACAGAATGGTTCTGGGCCAAAAAACTGTGGATTGGAACCTAACTTTGCTAGGTCGTCTACCCTTTCATTCCCTACAGTGCCACAGTGTCCTGGTACTCAATATAAGTTTACTGAGTTCCGTTGGCACAGTTGCCGAAGCGAGAGATTACATTCCCAGACGATCTTTGATGTACATTTGTAAGCACTCAGTGCTTCCAGCGCTGCTTGACTATCAGAAAAAGTACAAATATTTGAACATCTGTATTCCCTCTTCAGACAAACATGTACACATTCAAGTATGGCTACAATTTCCGCTTGAAACACGGTTGGAAAATGTCCCATCGCAACTGAAATATTTGTCCCGGGGCCAAAGATTCCTGCACCAGTTCGTATTCCAATTTTTGAGCCATCTGTGAAAAATATGATTGAGCCTTGACGAACGTTAGGACCACCAGTTCCCAATCCGAACGTGCCGTTTCACATACGTTGAAGGGAATTTCATAGTTGTCCTCTGGTTTCATCCAGTCTCCACATTCATACTCATCACTGGTCCTCTTTGAAAGTATTGTAAGATGCTTAGATGACCAACAAGATCACCTGGCATGACTTTTTTTAGATCTTTTGAGCCTTAGAACACTTCTAGTTCGCTTCTAGGGGGGAGAGGTAGCTCATCGATTCTTCCGGTTCGCCTCCTAGCATCGTGCTATAAGGTACGATAGCTCGCTGACGTCATTTCGTTGGTGTCTACAATGGGAAATTCTCATAGCAGGCGTTGACGATGGGACGTTGTCGAGTTGTTGAATAGCAACTATCGTGGTAACTCACCGATTACCTGTCGATCTGCCAAATTTGGAAAGACGTCTGCATTGCATTGTCTCATATAATAATATTCCGCCCACTATATCACAAGAAATTGCGAGTAGCTGAGTGGAATGGAGATAAGTTAAGCATTGGGTACAGGACCAAGTCTCCCCTGGATGGTGCCAGAAGATGAGCGCAATATAATCATCAAGTTGCCATAAGGCACGGAATGAGACTATTGCATGGCTGGGTAGTCAAAGTCTTCCATTCGTTAGTCATTTCAGGTGGATTAGAACAGGTTTAGGTGGGCGTTGGCCAGATTTGGATTTTTCAGATGTAATCCTGGATAAAGGGTGATACGGTCAAAATTTGGTCAAGGGAAAACGCGTGTAAATCGGTGAAATCGTTTATTTAAAAAATCAAATTAAATTTCTTTTTCAAGTTCAATTAGTATAAAATTCAGGAAAAATATTCAGTTAGGCTTCCGCTTTTCCAAATCCGAATTGCCGGGCCTTACGCTTGACCCCTGCCATCAGATTTTGTACAGTCACCTTGTCCACCTTCTTCGCCGCAGAAAGCCAGTTTGCCTTGAACTGCTGCTCGCCCTTAGCAGTTTTTTTGGTCTTCTTTAGGTTCCGCTTGACAATAGCCCAGTATTTCTCAATTGGGCGGAGCTCTGGCGTGTTGGGAGGGTTCTTGTCCTTGGGAACCACCTGCACGTTGTTGGCGGCGTGCCACTCCATGGCCTTTTTACCGTAATGGCAAGATGCCAAATCCGGCCAAAACAGTACGGAACAACCGTGTTTCTTCAGGAAAGGCAGCAGACGTTTATTCAAACACTCTTTCACGTAAATTTCTTGGTTGACAGTCCCGGAAGCTATGAAAATGCTGCTTTTCAAGCCACAGGTACAGATGGCTTGCCAAACCAGATATTTCTTTGCGAACTTTGACAGTTTCATGTGCTTGAAAACATCTGCTACCTTTCCCCTTCCTTTTGCCGTATAAAACTCCTGTCCCGGAAGCTGCTTGTAGTCGGCTTTGACGTAGGTTTCGTCGTCCATTACCACGCAGTCAAACTTCGTCAGCATCGTCGTGTACAGCCTCCGGGATCGCGCTTTGGCCGTCGTATTTTGTTTATCATCGCGATTTGGAGTCACTACCTTCTTGTAAGTCGATAGCCCGGCTCGTTTTTTGGCTCGATGCACGGTTGTAGACGATACACCCAGCTTATTTGCGGCATCTCGGAGAGAGAGGTTAGGGTTTCGCTTGAAACTACCGGCAACTCTCTTGGTCGTCTCAGCGGCTTCCGGTTTTCGATTTCCCCCCGATCCAGACTTCCTGGCTGTCGACAAACGTTCCCCAAACACTTTAATTACATTTGTAACGGTTGATTTGGCAACTTTTAGCGATTTTGCCAACTTTGCGTGCGAGTAGCTCGGATTTCGCGATGCGCGAGCAAAATTTTGATACGCTGCTCTTCTTGCTTGGACGGCATTTTGACAACTGAAGAGTGAATTCCAAAATCAAAATAGGAGCAACATTCTACACACACACACCTTCAAAATGAGGGGTGTTCAGGTTTTTTAAATGCAAAATTGAAAGAAATACGTCAAGTTGATATTGACCAAATTTTGACCGTATCACCCTTTAGGACCCTGTCATTGAACGTCGCGTGAAAGTGGAACTTAATGAAGGCCTAAGTACTTTTTCGTAGTTTTTAGTTTTCGGATTTGAAAGATCGTCGGTTACAGTGGCCTGCTTACTGATCAGAAAAATGCGGTCCAAGGTCCTTACATATCAAAGAGATTTATGGTAAAATCGCTTGTGTATCGTGTGTTTTGCGAAACTCGTTGTTGTCGTTGGTTCCGGGTTTGAATGGATACACAAATTTGTGTATTATGTGATATGAGGGGCTCGGTGGCCTTAGAGCAACCGTTTTTGCTTACTGAGCAGAACATCATGAGTCTAATCTCAGGCCCATCCACATTCAAGATTCGTCAATCGTTTTATTTGTTAATATGACTACATGGTAATAACAGCAACTCGGTGATTAAAAAGGTGCTCGTCTGCCTAGTGGCAAACGTTTTTGCTTACTGAGCAGCAGACCGTGGGTTTAGTCCCAAGCTCCTTCGCGTTATATGATCGTTAGGACATCAATTCAGTTTATCGTTTACCAAAACGAACCCTGCTGCAAACCCAACCCTCTTATCCAACATCCCAGTGATTCCTCGTAGAAGTGCAGAGGTGTTCTCGGCTTCCATCAAAGCGAGTGTCATGTCAACACAATCCTTCCCATTCCTTTATTGACCTGTGTTCGGGCGCGGCCGGCGCTGGTATTGCCTAATTTAAGATCACCAGTTTTTACACATTGAGGATGATTGCTAGTCCCAAGCATCGTCTATTGGTTCTCTGTGTAATTACAGCTGATCTGGCAGTAACAGAGTAGCAACCGTGGGTGGTCAATCAAGCTCAAGC